GTTGGACAGGTGTACCTAATAAAGTGGCCGGTGAGTGTATAGACCAATTTATTGGAAAAATAAATATGAAAGTCAATTAAAATATAAAACAGGAGATAAAGTTTCTCATTTTTAATATTTACTTGGTGCATTTTAAGTGTATTTATTTAGTGGTTCATATAATTCTGCTTTTATTTCTAATTATGTCAGTGTCGGTCCTCCATACTGCAGAACATGAAGAGGTAGTTCAGTGACTGAATCAGGTGTGTTGGAGCAGGAAACATGTAAAACATGTTGGGCTGCGGCCCTCCAGGACCAGGACTGACCACCCTCGATCTAAAACATGTGGATGGTGGTCCTCGAGGACCAGGACTGAGAACCAGTGGTCTAAACAATCATGTTACAGATTGATCAAAGTTATAACACTAATCCTGAGTCTTACTGTTTAAATCTTTTAACTCCACACGTTTTCAGCTACAGAACAGAAATCCAGTTGCTTCATCTTTTTCTTTCAATTTTCCATGTCCTGAATGACTGAGTCCACAGAAATAACACACGACAGTAATGGTGTCAGACTGTGTTGATGCTAAAGTGGATTAGMTTTATGTAGAGACCATCATGTCTTTGTTCCATAAATCCATGCTCTACTGCAGCAGCTGACCAGAGGTGGCTTCAAATGTAAACAGTGAACTAAATAAACACATCAGATATTTATTTAACAGGTTCTGATCGCACAACAGCGTCAGAATAGACAAGCTAACAAGTAGCATCCACTGTAGCGTCCTGTTTCCTCCTGTAAACAGAGCTGAATGTGAAACATGTTGCATCAATGACATTCACACTGGAGTCTGATGGAGGTTGAATTTAAAATGTGAACGTCCACACAAAAAATAGTATTGGTTCCAGGTTTTGTCATTTTGAATGAGTACTTGAAAAAATGCTGGTATCAGCTGGTATTGGTATCAGTGCATCCCAAGTTGACACCAAATATTAGCAGATCTATGGCTTTTATTAACTGTCTGAGCTTCACACTGAAATTTATCCTGTTGTAGAAAAGCATTGTTCAAAAATGGAAGTCTGAACAGTAACTGGGACCTACTGGGATATGTTTAAAAATGTTTATTGTCCTCTGACTCCAGTCAGCTCCAGACAGCAGTCAGGCCTAAGGCTGGATCTGAGCAGAGACCTGCAAAACTCAAAGCTTGTAAAAACACTTCCTCTCATATAATAATGAACTGACCTGATAATGTGTGTCTGTTCCTGGTTCCACACATGGAGCTGTTAACTTTTACTTCAGACATTAACTAACTTTTGTTTATACAGACAGAACACAAAAGACACACACCTATGGGCTGCAGTTTGTAAATTTACACAGTCAAAAATTATCACCAATGTTTTTGTTTTATTTTATCTTTTATAAGAAAAAAACAGATTTATTTTTCAAAGTCAGTTTTTCACCATATGATTCATACATTTATAAATGTCATAGTTTATAAACTAAATATTTAA